GAAAGTTATTCATGCCTATCAGCTACACCTTGACATGCCTCTGGATACAAATGCAAATAGGCTTTAGAGTCAGGTCCATCAGTAGTCCCTGGAGCCAATTATTTCTAAAGTCTGGGTTAAATCTGACCAGCTGCAGGCATTGTATCAACTGAATAAAGATCCTGGATCTGGGACAATACATAACTATTTTCCCTTTGTTTTCAGGTGCCCCAGCTGAATGTCCCTGTCAAATATGAGCATTCTGTAGTCCCCAACATGTCTATGATCTGTAGATAATATGACAGAAGATTTTTGTTACATGCATATTTTGTTTAGGTTGTGATCCCTTACATGACAGTAGCTGACCATAGCGGACACACAGAGAACAGAGATGGCACACTCAGGAGCAAATTTCTTTAGCAATATAGGCCTTTAAAAGAAATCATTTTCCTCTCTACCCTCACCTTTTACTGCAATCTTGAATAAAAGAACCCAAAAGTTGGCTTGTGGCCATCACATCTGAAAGAGCAGCCTAGACTATCATTATGATTAAGCACAAGAGCAGTGTAATTCTGTGCTGTTGCTGAAGCAGTCACCAAAGGGAAACTGGAGTCAAATCTCCCTACACCAGAAAGGAAATTGCTTTCCTTTGCTCTCCCTTAACAACTAGTTTCATAAGACTAGTTAATTTATAGGAAAGAATGTTGAAAGAACAAGAGCTGGAATCAAAGTTTTCTTACCTGCTCTGCAGGACTGAGGCTGACACACACAAGCAAGGTTTGTGCATTACAGCTGTATAATGGTACACTAGACAATACCCAAGTCATAAATCAAATGCAGACAATTTGTAAATCAACAGAAAAATAAGTGCAAATAGCATATGTGCACAGCTGTACAGATAAGTAATGGATTCCAACAGCAAGTACAATCTCCATGGATGGCTCTTCATAGATATACAGAATTTCAATAAAGAAATTTTTCCAAAAGAGCAAACATGAAACTTGTACCAACCCAGCTATAGGATCCAGAGCCCAGCTTTAATGTTCTGGCACCAGCTGCACTGGTGTAACTATTTATGAAAACAAGCAGTTCATTAGTTTCAGTTGGTTACTGATGTGACTCCCATTAATGACAGAGGCATACCTTGCCAGGATGGGGTTTACTGTCAGAAGAAATTGTCAAACTTTGAAGTCGAGCATTTAAAAACGTATTTTAGCCATTCCTGTGTGTTAACAGCCTCTACATGTTGGAGTTTGCATTTTAAGTTATTATGCCATTGAAGCTCTTAGCATACATTTTTCTTAACTAAAAAAAGAGTTAAAATATTACAAGCTCACACTCCATCCTAAGGGTAAAGGTTTTCCACCTAACATCCTAATGTCAATTAGATATGATTAAACCCAAATGCTATTGAACATAATGAAATTAAGGCTCCAATGTGCTGTGGGAGAAAACCGATTTCTTTTGTAGCATGTGGTTAGAGAGGCAATGTAAGAACTGTTTCCATAAAAATGAACAAAAATCATGTTAAAGCTTTGATGCATAGGATCCACAAGGGAAAGTAGGATCTAAAGTTCATTTACTATTGACTCCAGCACTTTTATGTGTGCAATTGCTATCTCCACCTCATTTGCTAAGCCTTTTAATTTTCTTTTTCCTTGTCACCCCATGCCAGAAAGGAACACCTATGCAAACTTCCTCTAGACTCACACCAAAAATAATCCTTTAAAAGCCTATAAAACCTCTGTTGTCCAGGAAGTGCAGCAACACCCAAGAACTCCATTTTAAAGTTAATAGACAGTCACAGAATTTTATTTATATTCATATTTAAAAGCTTGTCTATTTTGATTCCCTCTTTTCAGTTCAAGGTACAGGCACATTGGGTCCAGTGTAATTTCCCTGCAACATGAAAATACATCCCTAAATTCTACTTGATTTTCAATAAAAAATAAACTTTTGCTTGTCCTAACAACATTCTCTCTCTCTCCTTCTATGCATTTAAATGCACCCCATACACATGTGGATTTTACAGAACTATTTATAACATTTTAATTTAAATTTATTGAAATACAATCAAATAATTTTCAGTGTGGCTAAGACTAGGAAGTGATTTTTTTTTAATGCACCTGTTCAAAGGCCAACTTTAAAACAAGTTAAGCCAAAAGGTCACCAGCTTTTCCAAATAATGAAAGTTTTGAACATCCAAATTTCATACCAGAAAGCCAGAAAACACATCCAGTACAGCACCCTTATAGTTCTTTAACTGAAACAGACCCATTTTAAGAAGAAAGTCCAAGGAACAGCACAGACACACAGCAAAACATCCATACTGAAGGAAACTGGAAACATCGTGATACATAAATGTTTTTCATCACACCCTTTTTCCCTATATATATAAAGGGCCTTTGACTCCATCCCCACAACTTTAGATTACAATGTGTTCCTGTACTCTAAATGAAATGCAAAGTGCTTTGGTTGTTAGTCAACAACAGAAGTGTTGATACTAGAAGTTGTGTGGTTTGGGTTTTACTTCTTATGGAAGAGTCAAGGCATACTTCCAACACAAACATGAGCCATCTACTAATTTTCAAGGCACCATCCTAAATACATAGGTGTTTTAAGGAGACAAAGTGTTTCAAGTAAACAAATCTCAATAGACACACATAAACACCTTGCTATTGCCACATTCTTATCAGAAACAGTTGAATATCACTAAAACCTTCCCACAAAAACCTGTTCAAAGCACAACAAAAATACTTCCAAATATTTTAAGCAATAAAACCTGTTGTCATATCATAAGCCTTACTCACCAGGCAGTAGGACTTCCAGCTCCAACCACAGTTAACAGGTCTTACAGAGGAAGTAACTCCTAACAGAAATTCTTTAACACACAATTTTTCACTCGCACATCTTATCAAACGTTGTTTTTCACGTTAGGACCACGATGGCAGCAGTGTTTTTACAGTGTCAGTTGGCAATGCCCCATTCTCCTTCCTAAACAGCTTTACCAGGTTTAGCTGCTTGTTGTATGCTATTCAAACCCAAAATGATGCCTTTCTTGTACAGCTTCTAAACACCAGGATGTTACATGCCAAGAGTATATAACACACAACTTCTTTCCTAGATTTTATAAGATTTTTTTAAACTAAGTGCAACATTTATTTTACAGAAAAATCCTTTTTGCTCAAATCTTCAAGCATAAGGCGATCAAGTGATTTTTCCATGGTCCTGGCTCTGAATGTATTAGAAAAAGCAACCTATAAAGTTCAAGTAATACACTGGAAGACATTAAAGGGAGATCAGGAAAGGATTCATAGATGTGACAAAAAGAAAAATTAATTCCACTACAGGTGTTACATATAAAGACCTTAACTAATACAGCAGTATTTCTGTTTTTCTCATCACAGACAAAATAATTGATTTTCTTTCTGCTGAAAAGAACTTAAAACCTATTTCTGAATGAAAAATTAACAGTTTCAGTTCAATCTTGAGCATATAAAGGCTGAGGAAATAGCATATTTCTTCTGGTTGTTCCTCAAATCTACTTACTGCAAGTGAATAAAATTATAATAGTGGATTGCTTCCTCTTAAAAAGGTTTGACATCTCTTGATTTGAGGCCAAGCAGAAGCTGAATAACTGTTATTTCTATTTGAACTGTTTCACTGTCATCCCTTACTTCTCTCCGAAAAACAACTCTCCATCATCCATAATGGAATCAAATAGGGCATTCCAACCTCCAGATATTAAAAGGTCCCATTATTTTTTATAATAGGTATTGCAGCTTGAGATAACTTGGGGTATTTTGAAAGGCACTGCCGTAATAATTCTTGAATTAATAAGAAAAAATAATCATATTCTTGTCTTCCTCAAAATGTTATCTACAAAATAAGATAAGCTTCCTACTGTCTTAACTGATATAGCTACTACTGTAAATTATATTTAAAAAAAACTAAAAACAAAAACCCTTTTCAATGTTTTTTGCCAGAAAACTGAAGTGGTTTCCCTGTCACTGTCTTTAATTTTGATGCCACTTTAGTCGGTGCAGTTTGAGAATTAAAGAAAAAATACTTAAATACAAATAGTACTTGCCTTTAAAACTAAAACTTTCTTCATAATCGCCATTTAGCAAATGAAAGAAATCATAATTGTCGCCAGAAAAAAATTTCTGCATAAGTTCATTAATTTTACTGCATGCAGTCAACACTTTCCCCAAATCCTTGCTAGCTAGAGATAATTGACGATCATTGAGATTATTTGACTGCACTAATTACATTAAATGACCTCCTTAATATCCTCCACTTCACACTATACAATGCGAACAGAAACATCTGTTCGTGTCTCCTCTTCAATAGAAAACATTCTCCAAGCCGCCACACTATGAAGCGGATTTTTTTTTTTTTTTTTTTTGCGATTATATAACTTGTTTCTTTCCGAGCGCTGCTGCAGCATGTGTTACTGTCAGTTGACAGAACCGAAAGCTCTGCGCTGGCAGCGAACGCAGGACGTTTTTTCTCGCAGGGTTTCTCTCACCGGTGCGAAAGGATCCCCGCGGGAGCAGCCGGGTTTGGAGCCGGCGCCCGTCGGGTCTGCGGCCAGCCGGGGCGGCAGGCAGGGAGCGGGGCAGGGGCACTCACCGGGCTGTGCCGCTCCTGCCCGGCCGGGAGCCGGGCTCGCCGACCCACACACCTCGTCCGCCCACCCGCGAACTTTTCCGAGCGGGTGCCCGCGCCCGCTCCAGCCCGCTCCCACTGCCTCCGCCCGCTCCCGCCACACTCACCGGCGGAGCCCCGGTACCGTGTGTGCGTCTGGAGAGCCCCGCTGCCGCGCTCGGAGCAGGTGCCCCGCTCCTCCGGCCGCCAGCCGGGCTCTGATGGCGGCAGCCCGGGCAGTGCCTCCCCTCCGGACGGGCACGGGACAGGAGCCGCCGCTCGGCTCGGTCCGCTTTGCCCCTGCTCACAGGAAGGCGCGGGGGCAGAGACCCCCGGCCCCAGAGCGCTGCGGCCGCTGGAGCGCCGCTCACCTCCCGGGCTGCTGCTGCCTCCCCTGAAGAGTCTCGTCCCCCTTCTCCTCCTCCTCCTCCTCCTCCTCCTCCTCCTCCTCCATGGTGCCGCTCCACCCCTTCCACGGCGGCGGCTCTGAAGGTCTCCAGTAGGAGCTGTTGAGCGGCTGCGGCGTTCCACCTGACCAGCCCGCGGCCGAGGGCAGCGCGACGAGCTGCACGGAGCCGCTCCACAGCGCCCGGCGCCCCGCCATGGCGAGCCGGGGCTCCGCAGCACCGCGGCGGGCAGAGGGCAGC